AGGAAGGAAGGAAGGAAGGAAGGAAGGAAGGAAGGAAGGAAGGAAGGAAGGAAGGAAGGAAGGAAGGAAGGAAGGAAGGAAGGAAGGAAGCATCGCTGATAGGTAAGCTTGCCATTGACTTCTCAGCATAAGACCGTTTTCACTTGCTTATAACTTTTCCAAACTTTGAGAGAGGCTAACCAGTTGGGCTGAAATTTCCCATGCTGAAAGTTTGTTTCAGCTGACCGTTTCCAACATAAATACATCAGGCTGAACTGGTTCAGCCATTTCTGAGAACAACAGGACAAATTTTCTGAGAACAACTGAGAGGAAAACATTTTTCCCAGTTTTGTTTTGTTTTTTAATAACTGTTTCATTAAAAAACTCTAGTGCCTCCATATTTTGGAGAAAGGCCTTGAAATTTGGCAAGGGAGAAGTTTTTAATAAAAGTTGCCCAAATTTGGCTAAGTTATAAGCCTTTTAAAAAATCTGTTTGCATAGGCTGAATACATTCTGTTCCTCATGAATGTGGTAGAACCCTTCTGTGTGCCAGTTAGGTGTAGTATCTGCCACCCTCCCAGATGTTCCTCTACAAAAATCCAAGTAGCTCAGTGGGACATGTAGGGGACATGTAGCTCAGTGAACGGGAGAATATGTGATCCCAAATGCAGAATGGAGTGGCTCGGTACTGGCAAGTGTTCCCTCTGAAAACCACTATGCCCAAAGGAGGAGGGAAAGGAGAAAGCAGAGGAGCAAAAAAATAGGGAAGAGAAAACAGAAGGTGAAGGGACTGGTGAGTCTGAGGGGCCAGAAGAAGAGAGTAATAAAATGGTGAGCTAATAAAGATCTTAAAATTATCTTCTGTTTGTAATGTAGGCTCCACTTATCATCAAGTAGTCAAACTCTTCTTTTAGGAGAAATGATAAGTGTCTTCCTGGGCATTTTCATCTAATTCCTACTTACAGGAGATGGGTATATAACACACACTGTGGCTTTGCCTTCACACCTATAAAAAAGAGGCTCAGGTATTTGCCTACAGTCTACTATCATGTAATGACTTTAGAGAAAAGGAAAGATGGATTTAATTCCCTTCTCCTTCTATAACAGCATCTCTTTCTGTCTGGAATTTCGTTTCTTATTTATGATGCTGCCTCCACTTCCTGCAAAAAAAGAGCTTGTGTGTCCTTCAGACAACAGTTCCTCCACTTGAAAGCCCTGCTGCTAGCCCAAGGCAGTATTCACCCTGTGCCTTGATCAGGACAGGAATCTGGTGGAAAACAATGTGAGATTCATACAAGCAAAGAGATTATGCACAAAAGCAAGCGGCACGTTCAGTCTGGTATTTCCCAACTCCTGAATGTTTCTCTTTGCAGTCTCCACATTCTTTTGGCATCTTTTGGAAAGAATATAAAGTTTACACAACATAGGGTTGACACCAAAACAGTTTACAAATTGAATTGTTGCACTGTGCAACCATGTTAGATAGGAATCACTTCACCCACCATAGATACAAAGTCATCTGAAGGTCCCACCATAAGAAATGCAGACGAGCAACATTTCCATCATTTCTTGAAAGGAAATGAAGGATCATGTATCCAGCTGTGTGTGGAAATGCAGGCAGCTTAAATAGGAATAGCCAAACTGAAAGGTGACTAAGATCACAGGCAGGCAAGGTCACTGACGTGCAATAAGCTTGGGCACGCACCTCGATGGCCACCTTGCACAACATGTGAAGCAGCTTACCCCACTTTCAATGAGCGTGGAAAGCACCGGGTCCTTCTCACACATTAACAAAACTTACGCAGACAGAGTCAGAAAAACAGCAAGTTTATGTATTATCTTCCCTATGTTAAATCGTTCCCCTGCCCACATCCTAAAAGATTCCTATTTCCACCACTGCTACAGCAGGAAACTGTTACAAGCCTAAGCCCACTTGCCACTTTCTTAGTCAATGTCACCACATTTGTGATGTTACCAAAGAACTACCTCGTTCATTGTAAAAAGACAAGCCTGAGATCAAGTAAGCACAGATGTAACTTTTACTTTACAAAGAGTCCAGAGAAGACACTCACAAGAACGCTAACATACACTTATTTACATGTTTCCAACCAGGCTCTAGGGAGTCAACTACTGTTCAGCTGGCTGCTCAGCAGCTCCCATAAAAGTAGGGCAGAGAATGCCTTACAGAGGAGTTCAATGTGTTTGAGGCATTTTGATGAGCTGGTCACTTTGCGGAAAAACAGCCAACCAACCAAACACTAACATTAATTAAATATTAAAAGTTACTGGAAATAAAATTTAAATAATTTCATTTTTCTTTTTCCATTTAAATCCTTACTTAAAAGTCATTTCCTAGAGGAACCTTACTTGCATTTCTAGCAATCACTTTTTCATGTTTTCTTCTTCCTTATCCTTTCTTTCATAAATTATTTCATGGAATAAATATCTTCTGTTCCAGGTGTGTGACCCATATATTGGCAGGACTGCACAAGGGGCATGTGCTGCTTTTAGTGAAGTGAAACAGTAGTTCAAACTTCAATCCGACAAAAGCATATATTAACTTGCAACATAGGAACAGCCACTGTGGCATCAAGAGTCGACTTGTATACTTGCAAAAGTAGATCCAGAATCCAGACAAACCTACTTTCTTGACTTTGCCTTCTTCAGTGCAGATGGTAATGCTTGCATCATAAAATAGTAACAATGAAAACAAGAATTGGAAGAATCCGAACAAATCAAACCTATTACCAAACATCTCGTTAGCAAACGTTCTACAAAACAAAACTTTCCACCCCCTAAGGTTTGTTCCAGGGCAGAGGTAGAAAGAACATATGTTAAACATATACCAATCATACAATGTGATGCACTACAGGAACCAAGTTAGCGGCTATGGTGACACGCACAAAAACAAAAGCTACAGAGAACAGAATACACGTAGCTGTAACAACAGGGATGACTGCAGAGTGTGGCTCTATTCACTAGACCTACTGCGTGGGCTAGAAAGGATACATGAATTTATACTGTCATTACTCAGTTCAGATGTACCTCATATCTAAATTTCAAGCAGAATTGCTCCTGTGTGTGTTCTGGAAACAGCAAGCACACCGAAAGAAAACAGCACAGGACTTGAGCTTCACTGCATGTGAAGGGTGAATGGTTAAGTTTTCATTTTTTAAAGAGAGGTATTTGCCAGCCAAAATTAATAACAGAATGTTCATGGATTTAAATATGACAATTTAGTATATTTTAAAACAAAATATTTAAAAATCATTTCCTCTTTTATTTTTTTTTACTGCCCACGTCCTAAGTTTACTGCCTGTATTTGTCTTAGGTGCTTGAGATTTAATTGGCTGCTTGAGGGGAAGAACAGAGTTCTGAAAATAGGTCTGGGCAGAGAAATTGAAAAGGAAATTGTTTTTATTTTTTTTTTCAAAAGCATCATATTTGTAGCCTTTGCCCACCCCTAATATATTTTTTTTAATAATTTCATTCCTTAAACTGCAACTTTGAGAAGGCCCCAAGCTGTACTGGTGTACTTTCAAACAGATTTGGAGAAGTTACTTGGATGACTTAGGCTATTTGACTGACCGAGATTCTCTCTCTTCCTTTCCTTCCCTATCCCATCCTCTCCTAGGCTACCCACAAATTCTTATCACTACTCCTTTAGAGGGGCTCTCTCTAAGGATTCCTTAATATTCCCTTTACGTGTATCTGGAAAGGGATACATTCCAACACATAAAGACACATGTTTTTTGCTTCCACGCTTTAAAGAATTTCTCAACATTGGATCTTACCCTGCACAAATAATTTCATTTGATTTTGCTGTAAGTAATCATGTCAGCCAGGTGTGATATATGCTGCAATCTCTCTTCTGTACTCCTGGCCTACGGAAATCAGTACTGGGACAGAATACGATGCCAACACACTCACAAGGTGAAGCATTTACAACGTGAAAATGCTATGAGGAGTAGATGTGTATCCAAATATCTTCCTGTCATTAAGATTCCCCCTGAAATTTGGGGAGATAGACAGAGGTGCTTTTCGAAAGACAGCTCCTACAGCATCCTGTAGGGACACACTACCGGACACCCCAAAATGAATGAAGCCAATAAGCTTATCAAGGACTTGAATTTTTAATGAATTACTGTTCCACATGTTATGAGCAATTTGGAATTTTTAATATTTGTCAGAAAATAAGTCATTAGACACCAGCCCATGCTACCTGCTCTGTTTAAGATACCTCTGCACTGAGTCCCGCTGAAAAGTGTCCAAAGCTGAGGCACTTCCTGACTGTTAGTTCTGAAGAGTGCTGGCCAGCATGCCACCTAAACACCAGCAGCCCTCTCTCAGGATCTGCTTCTACGCTTCTGTCGGCTTCCTTGCACTGTCAGACTTAAAAGCTGTTGCATGTATAATTGCCTTTGTGGTGACTCAGAGGAACAGAGGTGCTGGCGGGGCCGTGCCAAAGCCTGCATGATGTATCGA